GCCGGCCGCTCTATTCAAGCCTTGCTCTCGACGTGCCGTTCCTCCGATGATGCGGTCCTGGGCGGCGAGTTCTTGAAGGGCTTCGGGCCGTACCCCGTCAAGTACTGGTCCCGAGTCCGGGCCATGGCTAAGCGTGGCTTGCTACCGGAGGGTGCGGCCACCGTAGGTAGTCCTCGTTACCCCTCATTCTTCTTCTTTTCCTGTCTTGCCATATTCCGACTCGAAACACCTCATGGTTTCTCTTTCCTTTTTACAGGTCCATACGACTCCGACTCCTCCAGCTCCGACGAGGCGGTTGAACCGACTCCCGAGATGGCGGATAGAGCCGAAAAGATGAGGCGTCGGCTGATCCAACGCACTTCTGGTACTGCTGCTGCTCTTCCTCACTACCGTCTCCGGCTCCCAGGCCGACTCCTCCTCCACCTCGGAACGTGGTGGATCTGACTCCGTCGCCAGTGGTGTCGCCCACTCGACAGCCACCTCTCCTCAGACAGAGAGTCCCGGCTCTAAGCGCCCGGCTGGTCAAACTGATGAGCCGGCTCCCAAAAGGATCCGGCTGTGCCATGAGGTAGAGGAAGATGCCCAGATCTGGATGGGCACCTCCTCCGTCCGTAAGTGGTGTGCTAACGTCCTTCTACCTAAGGACGTGGAGGCGACTCATGCTCTGGGGACGGGTACATCCTCGAGGCCTCACTGCGCCAGTCGTACCGCGTAAGTGTTTCCCACTTGACCTTTCCTTCGTCCTTTCCTTTCATTATCTGACTCGTGTTCGTCTCGCAGAACCTCACCTTCCAGATGGAGATGAGTAAGCGGCTGCAGAACTACAGGACCGACATGCGGTCTCTGGCCAACAAGCTGCGTCAGACGGAGGAGGCCTTTTTGGAAGAGCAGGCGAAGCACCTCAAGGCGGTGGAGGTGCACAACTCCGAGATGCTGAGAGTTACCCGCCAGTGGGAGGAAGAGCGAGACAAGGTGGCGACGATTGCTGCGACCTCTGTTGAGGAGTACAAGAAGTCGGCTGCCTTCGAGGCGGAAGTGAAGGCGGCGATAGAGGCTCGCCAAAAAGAGATTGCTAAGGAGTGGCTGTCGACGCCGGATGGTGACGAGTTCCTCCTGGACTTGGGCGAGCGCGACTATCGCCTCAGCTTTCGCGAGGCGCAGACAGAGATCCATTCTGCCTTGCTGGTCCGCGACTCCTCTTTCACTCCCGAGAGCTGGGGCCTCAAGCCCGTGATAGATGCTTTCCGGCGACTGAAGGACAGTCGGCGACTGGGGACCTGGCAGCTCTTCCGGCAACCTCTGATCCGGCGA